GTTCATCGCCCCGCCCCCCAAGGAGTACGACCCCACCCGTCCCCCCCGCCCTCCCCACCCGCCCTTCCCTCCCCCAAGCCCGCCACCGCCGCCCAGCCCCAAGCCGCCGCCCAAGCCGCCGCCCAAGCCGCCCAAGCCGCCTGCCCCACCGGGGCCGCCGCCCTCGTGAGTACGCCAGCACCACCCCGCCAGCTCTTGTGGGTCCCGCCTTCCTCCTTCTGCCTGCCTGACTGGCTTGACCCCCACCCCGCCTGCAAGGCCCCTGGATGATCCGGCCGCCTGCCTCCTCATTGCCGCACTGCAGGCCGCCCGCCCCTCCCGCGCCGCCGCCTCCCCCGGGCATCAGCACCGGCCGCCCCTTCCCCTTTGGCTCCGAATGGAGCTGGGAGACAAGCACAGGTGCGCAGCCTGCCTGCTGGCCTGCCTGCCTGCCCCGCATTGCCCTGCCCTGCGCCGCGCCACATCAGCGCACCTTCCGCACTGCACCATAGGTGTATCACTGCACTGCACCTGCTGCGCCGGGCTTGTTGTGGCCTGATCACATCCCCCACCGACCTGTCCGCCCCGGCGCCGCGCTGCCGCCCCCGCACCGCAGGCTTCCTGTTCTGGGCTATTGTGGGCCTGCTGACCGTCACCTTCCTCATCCTCACCGTCGTCTTCCACAAGCGCATCTTCAGTCCCATCCCGGTGAGCATGCACAGCAACAATTGCCGGAGCCGCACCCTGTGGGATCAAGAGCAAGCCTGGCGCCCCAGCAGCCCATTCTTCAAAATTGTTCTCAAAATACCGCTCGGCAGCTGTCATGCGCGGTCCCCGCCCCGCAAGCCTGCGACTGCTGCCGCTGCTGGCGCTGGCTCACGTTGCGGCATGCCCGTGCAATGCCTTGGCCGCCGCTTGTGTGTGTGGGTGTGATGTGTGGGTGGGTGGGTGGTGTTGGGTGGTGTTCCCTTTGGTCCTCACGCATGTGCCTGTGTGTGTGTGTGCCTGTGTGTGTCTCTGCAGTGGGACTACACCCGCATGAAGTACACCGAGCCGCAGCCCGGCTCCGGCCTCAGCAAGCTGCACGCCCCAGGGGCGGTCCTGCCCGGGGACCTAGAGCGCCAGGTGAGGCAGCTGCCACTTTCCGCGGCAGCTTCCTGCTCTTGCCTGCGCCTCCGGCCAGCCGGCCAGCGCTCGCAGACAGCCGGCCAGCCAGCCAGCTCTGCTTGCATGTGTGGGTGGAGACCAGCTGCGCCTGCGGCTGCGCCACCTGCAAGCCCCGCTGAAGCGCGCATGCTGCTGGCTCCTGGCCTGTGTGCAGGAGAAGGAGGAGGTGGTGGAGACGCCCACCATGCTTCACATCATGGGACAAAACAACCTGCTGCAGCGCACGGGCTTCAGGGGCGGCGACGCCGAGCAGCTGGAGGACTGAGGCGCCTGCGGCCGCCACAGCGTGGCGTTGCTGCTGCCCCAGCTTGGCCTCACGAGCTGCTGCACAAGTGTTGCCTGCATCATGGCTCCCCGCTCCCGACAGAATCGTTCTTTTGGCTGTTCCTTCCCTGACATTAAGTGCCCGGCGGCCGCGCTTCGGCGGCGCCGCGCTCGGCCGCTGCCAGACTGCTGTTTGCTTTGCCATTGTTTTTCCCCCTGCTGCTCCTTTTCTACTGCTATCCGTGTGTGCCTGCCAGACTATGCCCCCTTTTCTCCTTTATCCCGTACGCTGCTCTCGGCCGCTGCGCATCGCAGCGGACCGTCCTGCCATGCTGAGAAAGTGTGTGTAAGGCAAACGAATCATCACATCACATTGAATGTCAGTGCTCATTGCAGCAGGCAGATTGCAGCAGGCAGACGGGAGAGTTCAAGGACCAGCGGCGTACCACCGCGCGCTACCGCTGCCCGCTGCCGCCGCGGAAGGAAGGCGCGCCGCCATGCCGCAGCGACCCCGTCCAGCTCAGCTTCTGCGTGATGCCCTCGTACCTGCAGGCAGGACGGTGGTACGACACAGCCAGAGGTGAGTGCTTGTGCCAGCACACGTGTGATGGGAGCACACAGAGCCCCAGCAGGCCAGCGAGGGCGATGAATCGAGAGCATCGCTTTCAGGCACACACAGGATACTATGCAGCTTCCAGGCAGCTTCCCTTCCATCCCCCCCCGACCCACCAGTCCTCGTCCAGCGGGTGCATGTTGATCATGGGCAGCGCGTGGCGGCTGGTGCGGCAGAGGATGGAGGAGTCGCGCAGCATGCGCATCGTGTGCCGCCCTGCAGGCAGCGGCGCACAGGCGGGCAGTGGGCAGCGCGCCAGCCTGCGGCAGCACCGGCATGGCATGCATGCTCTGCCCTGAGCTGCCCTGTTCTCCCCTGCTGCCCGACGCATCCACCCGCCCCAACCGCACCATCAAACGACGCCCTGCAGGGGTGGGGAACGCAGGCAAGCATGGAAGCAAGTTAAAGCTTGCTGACAGAGCAGCGCTGGGCGGTGGCGGCCGGAGCATGGCGACAGGTTGGCGGCACTGGAAGGCGTGCCGCCGCCAGCGTGGCAGCAGCACCTCACTGCGCCGCACCTGGCATGTGACCGAGAGGACTGGGGCAGGTGCACCTCGATCACTGAATGCTCTGGCACCACCACCGGCCTGCGGCGTGGCAGCAGCAAGGCAGGCAGCAGGGCGGGAAGGTGGGGTGGCGAGCTCAGGTGCCGACGTTGCTCCATGCATCAGCTGAAAGCCAGCCTGTTGTGTGCAACTGCCACCACCTAAGCCATTGCCGGCACTGCAAGTGTGCCAGGGCCTCTGCAGGTGAGCTCAGCCTGCCGCACCTGAAGGACAGGCTGTGGGGAGCCACGGGCGTGATGAGGGTGCAGGGCACGCTGGGCGCCACCATGGGGCCACCTGCACACACATGCATGCAGAGGCGCAGCACGGTCCGTCAGCGGTGTGTGCAGTGCGGCGTGCGTTCATTCCGTGAGCTGGGGGAGGGGTTGCCGGCCTGCCTGCCACCACACTGCCACCTCCCTGCGGCCCTGCCAGCCCACACCGCCAGCCCACCCACCCGCCGACATGCTGTAGGCTGTGGAGCCGCTGGGGGTGGCGATGATGAGGCCGTCTGCCTGCGCCGTGGTGATGTGGCTGCCGTCCACAAAGCACTCCAGCTGGACCATGGCCGGCGAGGCGCCCCTGCGGCCAGGCAGGGGCACGGGAGGGAGGCGGGCAGGGGGTGAGCAGCAGTGGTGTCGCTCCCGCTGTGCCGTTGCGTGCTCAACCTGCCGAGGCTGCCTGCCTCTCCCTCTCCCTCTCCCTCTCCCTCCCTGTTCCACTGCCCTCTGTCTCACCGATCTATGAGGCACTCATTGAGCACATGGTGCACACGCTGCAGCTGGCCGCCCCTGCACACACACACAACCACACCACCAGGCCCGTCAACACACAGGCTCAGCCATTACAGGCGAAGAGCGGCAACAGCCGGAGCCGGCGGCAGCAGCGGAGCAGCAGGTGTGTCGCGCCGCCCAGCGCCAAAAACAGGCACGCAGTGCTCACCAGTGCACCTCGCACTGCTTGCGGCTGCGCAGCGTGCAGAACACGGGCTCCCCCTGCCACGGCGGCCATAGCAGCCGCGACAGCACGGTGCGAGACTGCAGGCGGTGGCGGGGAGGCAAGCAGGCACAGGACGAGGCAGCAGGCAGCAGGCAGTAAGCCACCGAGCGCTCGTGCCACCTGGCTGGCCGCTGCCATGCACTGTGCAGCACAGAGGCCCGCACAACGTGCGCCAGCCGCTGCTGAAACAGCACATTGTAGCCCAGCTGCACAGGCTGCCCACCTACCATGCTGGCATTGAATGGTGTGAGGAAGCCCAGGGTGCCCATCGCAAAGGAGATGACCGGTGGCAGCGGCGCGTCCTCAACAAACAGAGACGCCAGGTGGAGCACAGTACCGTCGCCTGCGCGGCGTTGCAGGCAGGCGGCAGCAGGCGGGCAGGGCAGGCTGGGAGGGCATCTGGCGGCGGCTGGCGCCAGGGGCGGAATGCAGAGGCCGCCCGCCACCCCGGACGCTCCTGGCGAAGCCGCGGCCCCATGCCAGAGTGCCTGCCGCCGCCATGAGCCACACCTCCCAGGGTGATGCACAGATCTATCTGCGGGTTGTGGCGGGAGGGCTGGAAGGCCTCGAATTCAGAGAACTCAGCCTGCGCCACGGGCCGCTCCACAAGCACCTGCAGGCCGTGACCCTTCAGCCTGCGGCAGGCACGTGGGCGGGTGGGCGGCCGTTAGGTGACGGGTCAGACCAGAGAGGGTGGGTTAGGATGGAGGCGGCAGGCAGAGGGTGCCGTGGGTCGGGTGGGTGCAGCGGCGGAGCGGGGCAGGACGGGACGCGCAGGCAGAGCGGGTGGCCGCAAGCGCTGGGCAAGTCGACGACCGGCGCAGCCGCTTGCGCGCCGCCACGCACACACCGGAAGCCTCCTGCCCCACCCCAGCCACCCCAGCCGCCCCAGGCCGCACCACGACCCGATTTCCTTGAGTTTCTGGCTGGCTGCCGCGTCCCCGGGCTTCTTGACCAGCAGCACGCAGTTGGGGTGCCCCTCCTCCCACAGCAGATTGCACCGCCGCCGCAGCTTCAGGCTGCTCAGGCTGTCGGACCATGACTGCAAGGTGGGTCAGGGAAGCGGCGCAGTGGAGGAAGGGCAGGGGAGGCAGGGCAGAGGTGCGTCGGGCATGCATGAGAGCGGGGCCATGAGGTGCGGCTGGCGGCTCCGCGACTGAGGCTGTCGCCAGCATGCCGCCTGCGCGCACAGCACGCCCACCGCCGCCACCAGCAGCTGTCGGCGCGGGCAGGGTCTCATGCATCGATCCAGCCGGGCCTGCTGGCCCTCACCACTTTGGCCCCCTGCACCACGCCGCTCTCCAGGCTGGCGGGCGGCGGAGCGCCGTTGGTCGAGTAGGCCGGCTTGAACTTGGTTGTGTAGTTTAGTTTGGACGGCCCACGCTGCCCCTGCTGTCGCCACTGACGCTGCTGGGCTGGCGGCGGCGGCGCTGGTGGCGGTTCCTGCGAGTCGGGTGGCTGCTCCTCGCCGCTGCCTCGTGGCTCGCCGCCGCCGGCGGTGCCGCCGCCGCCCGGGGCGGCGGCCACCGGCAGGCTTACCGCCAGCCGGCCGCGCGCTCTGAGCGAGCTAATCAGGCGTCGTGGGATCATCAGCCGGGGCTGTGCAGGTCTCAGGCTACAGGCGGGGCGGGTCATGTAAAGTTCAACGATCGCTGCGCATAGCGCTGGCAAAAGGTGGAACTGAACGCAGAGGCCAGCATGCAACAGTCCTCAGCTGGGTAGCTCACCCGAACAGGATGGCCACCGCCCGCGAGCGCGCGCAGCATGGGGCTCGACCTTCCCATCCAGGGGGACCTCTGAAACGCCCTATTGCGTGCCTTGCCTGTGCAAAACATTCCCGGTGCTGCAGGCCGCTCCCCAGCGCCCGTCTCGCCTTGGTTTCGCGTATTGAGCACCGGCGGCGGGGCATTGCATCGCGTGTATATCGCTTTTCAGCGTTACAGGTGGGCCTGGGTAGTGTCTAAGCGCAAATTGGTGCCCTCCTCGGGGCCTCCTGCACTCCTGCATGCTGCTGCCAAGTTCGTGGCGGTGCTATGGCAGAGCGGGGCGGGGTGTGGGGCGCACCCTGGAGCTTTCTGTCCTTGACTGGGAGCCAGGGGGCCGCCGCCAGCTCCTTCCACCACCGCCACCGCCCTGACCACCGCCACCGCCCTGACACCGCCGCCGCCGCCACTGCTTTCACACATCCTGCAGACTGCGGCAGCCCGGCAGGCAGCGGGAGGCGTACCGTCAGCCAGCATGGCCATCCCGCTGCAGCCCGCAGTGGAGCACAAGGCGGTGCGGAAGCAGATCAAGGCGCTGAGGAAAGTGGCGTCCACGGGGCAGCTGGATGCGCAAGGCGCCGCGGAGCTGAAGCAGCTCAAGAAGCGCGCCAAGGCGCTCAAGGCAGCAGCCAGCGGCGCCACCGTCGACGGCGGCAGCGGCAGCGACGGCGGCGAGGCTACGGCGGAGCAGGCGGCTGCGCCGCTGCCCGCGGGCAAGGCGGGCAAGGCGGGCAAGAAGAAGCGGAAGCAGGTCGCGGGCGAGGGCGAGGCGGGCGAGGCGGCGGCCACGCCGGCCAAGCCGTCTGAGCAGCCGCAGCAGCCGGCCGCAGCGCAGCAGCAGCAGCCCTCCAAGAAGAAGCAGAAGAAGGCAGCGGCTGGTGGTGCTGCTGCTGGCGCCAGCACTGGTGCCGGGGCGCCGCCTGCAGGCGTTATGGCCGAGGTGGGGGACCGCAAGCTGGCAGCCAGCCGCCCCGCGCTGGTCAAGGCTCTGTACAGCGAGGCGGCTGACGTGGCGGCCATGTCAGACGCTGACGTGGCGGCGTGGCGCAAGGAGCGCCAGACCGCGGTGGAGGGAGCCCCGCTGCGCCCCATCACCAAGTTTTCGCAGTCGGGTGCGGCGCTTTGCTGCACTGGGCGCGTGCCAAGCCCCGCCCCACATGCTGCCGGCCTGCCGCCTGCCGTGCCACCTGCGCGGCAGCCCTCGCCGGCCGCCGCCGCGGCGCCGCCCCCGCGCTTTCCTCCCTCGCCCATGCCCACCCCCGTGCCTCCCTGCTCCACAGGCCTGTCTGCCGCCGAGCTGCACGCCACCCGCAGCTTCCAGCACCCCTCCCCCATCCAGGCACAGTGCCTGCCGCTGGCGCTCAGCGGCCGTGACTTGGTCGGCATCGCGGCCACAGGGTCTGGCAAGACGCTGGCCTTTGGGCTGCCCGCGCTGCGCCACATCCGCGCGCAGAGCGAGGCGGGCGTCGCCACGGGTGGGTGCGCCGCGGGCGCGGGCGTCGGCTCTGTACCGGGCGCGGGCTGGCGAGGCTGCTGCGGGCCTGTTGGATGGGTGGAGTGCTGCCCGTTGATTGTCCCAACTGTCGCGACAGAGTAGGTGCCGCCACGGCTGGCTGGCCTGGGCGCCGTCGGGCCCACCTCGCCGCTGCGCCACCCACCCACCCACCCGCAGGCAAGAAGCCTGTGGCACTGGTGATTGCCCCCACCCGGGAGCTGGCCCTACAGATCTGCGCGGTGCTGGAGGAGGCGGGCAGCCAGTGCGGCATCAGGTGTGGGGGGCCGCCCCGGCCTGCCCCGGCGGCGTGGCATGGGCCGATACGCCGCGCGCGGGGCTGCTGCCGACCGTCCGTTGGCCGCCGTGGCAGGCTGGGCCGCCCGGGCGCCGCCTGGGCTGCCAGCCCCTGTGCTGCCGGCTGCGCCGGTGCCCGCACGCGTCCCCACGCCCCTCCCTCCCCTGCCTGCCCCTGCCCTCCTGCTTGCCCTGCCTGCAGCACGGTGTGCGTGTATGGCGGCGTTCCCAAGCGGGAGCAGGTGGCTGCGCTGCGCAAGGGCGCCGCCATCGTGGTGGCCACGCCGGGGCGCCTGGAGGACCTGCTGGAGGATGGGGCCTGCAGGTGGGGGCGTGGCGCGGGGCGCGCGCAGCGCGTGTGTGTGGTTGGTGGTGGCGGCGGCGGCGTGGTGGTGGTGGGGTGACGGGTGTTGTTGGCGGCGAGTGGTGTGTGGGAGTGGCCTCAAATGCCCCCCCCCATCCAGCTTCCCACCCCCCTGTTCTTTCTTCATTTTCCTCGCGCTTTCTTCCCTCCCCCTGCTGCCAGGCTGGACGAGGTGTCCTACCTGGTGCTGGACGAGGCAGACCGCATGCTGGACCTGGGCTTTGAGCCGCACATACGGTGGGTCAGGTGGCGCGGGTGTGGTGGGTTGGTGTGGTGTAAGGAGGTGTGGTGTAGCTTGGTGGTGGTGGTGGTGGTGGTGGTGGTGGTGGTGCTTGGGTGTGGTGATGGGGCGGCTCACGCAGCAGGCTTTGGAGATGGGCAGCCTGCTGCTGCTCGGCTGACCGGCGCTCCCAGCCGCGCTACGCTCCCTGGTGTGCCGCAGCGCCATTGCCGGCAAGACGCGCGCCGACCGCCAGACACTCATGTTCTCGGCCACCTGGCCGCCCGCCATCCGGTGAGCTGGCCGCGCCTCTGCGCTGCGCTGCGCTGCGCTGTGCTGCGCTGAGGGAGGCATGCTGCGCTGGAGGAGGCGCCGACAGGCCGGCACTGGAACTGGAGCGCCACTCACGGACACATCCATTGTCCTGTCCCCCTGTCACGAGCCACCCAGCCTCCCTCCTCGCTGCTGTCCCACCCCTGCCCGCCCCTGTTCCCTCCTGCAGCAAGCTGGCCTCTGAGTTCCTCTGCCACCCCGTGAGGGTCACCATCGGCTCCCAGGACCTGGCCGCCTCCCACTCAGTCACCCAGGTGCGCGCTTGAGCTTGCTGACACTGGCCGGTGCGCAGCGTTGGCGTGCGTGGGCTGGTGCAGTGCCGCTGGGGTGGAGGGGACCGCTCCTGCTGCTGGCGCTGCCCCGCCACGGGTGGCAGTTGCGGCGTGCCCGCCTGCTGCGCTCCCTGAATCAATTCTTTCTTCACCTTCCCGCCGGGCCTGAGTGCAGGTGATTGAGGTGATTGAGGACCGGGCGCGGGACGGGCGGCTGCACGAGCTGCTGCAGCGGTACCACGCGTCCCGCTCCAATCGCGTCATCATCTTCGTGCTGTACAAGAAGGAGGCGGTACGGGTGGAGCAGCTGCTGCAGCGCAAGGGCTGGAAGGTGCGCGGGCGGTGGCATGTGCTGGCTGGGGCCCTGGGCGCAGCGTCACCCGAGGCGCCGCTCGCCTGCTGGCTGGCCCCTGTCGCAGCCAGGAGGCAGCGGCAGCAGCAATCGCCAGCCGCCCATGACACAGGTGCCGCCTTGCCTTGACCCCCAATTGCCCCCCATATGCCAAGCAGGCGGCCGCGATCCACGGCGACATCTCCCAGGTGCAGCGCAGCTCGGCGGTGGAGCAGTTCAAGAGCGGCGCAGTGCCGCTGCTGGTGGCCACAGACGTGGCAGCGCGCGGGCTGGACATACCCGACGTCGAGGTGCGCGCGGCGGGTGTGTGTGTGTACGCGGAGGGTGGTGGTGCATGCCTGCACGGGGTGCTGGCCTGTCAGGCCTGACGTTTCTGCACTGCATGTGCCTGTGCCTGCCCACCTCCCTGCCTTCACCCCTCTCCTCCTCATCTCCTCGCTCGCCTGCTCCCTCACCCTGCTGCCTGCCTCTCCTGCCCCGCGTGTCCCACCCACAGGCAGTACTCAACTACTCCTTCCCACTCACAACAGAGGACTACGTGCACCGCATCGGGCGCACGGGGCGCGCCGGCAAGACGGGTGCGCCCGCCGCTCGCGCATCGACAGCCAGGGCGCACACGCGAGGCAGCGCCGCGTGCGGCGGCCTGCACCGGGCGCCCGCCCGCGGCATGGCGGCAGCCCGTGCTGCGCTTTTGCGGCCCCGCCGCCGAGCACCCTCCTCCCGCCCATCCCCTGCTCCCCTGCCACCCCTCGTCCCATACCCCCACTCTTCTCCCCATGCTGTGTCCTTCCATCCCCCTGCAGGCAAGGCCCACACTTTCTTTGTGGGCAACAACGACAAGCCGCGGGCGGGCGAGCTCATCAATGTGCTGCGGGAGGCCAAGCAGACGGTACCAGAGGAACTCCTGAAGTTTGGCACTACGGGTGAGCGAGCGGCGGCTGCCTGGCCGCTCGGGGGCAGGCTGCGCCCGGCAGCACACAGCAGCGCGCAGAGCTGAGCGGCTGGGGCGCAAGTGGCCTCCGCACTGCCACGCCTGGGTGTTCCGCTGCCTTCGTGCCTGCCGCCGCCGACCCGCCGCCGCCCTTCCGTTTGCGCCCCTGCAGTCAAGAAGAAGGAGAGCAAGCTGTACGGCGCGCACTTCAAGGATGTGGACCACTCGCAGAAAGCCACAAAGATCAGCTTCGACAGCGACGACGAGTGATGGAGGCGGTGGGCGAGCCGCCCTCGGCGGCAGGTGATGGCAGGCAGGAGGCGGCTGGGCCCTGCAGCCTGCAAGGCCTGCAAACTGCTCTCTTCGACGGCTGGGATTCCCAAATGTTGTCTTCAAGGTTGTAATTGATCCCGCAGGCGCGCCGCTGCCTGCCCTAGGCATTGCGCAGCCCATCCTCGCCTCCCTGGCAGCAGTGTGCAGTGGGGCCCAGGAAATCCCAGCTGGCACGGCTAGTTTCCAGTTGCGTGTGTGTTGTACATTACGGCTGCAGTGCTTCAACATTCAAGCATTGCAGGTTGCCAGCGCTCGATAAACAGGCACAGCTTCAGATCAGGGACGTGGTGCAGAATGTCCCAGCGCCAAGGCTGGCTGCACACCCTGCCCCCTCGGGCGGAGGCCCAGCCCTGGCCCAAGCCTGTGGCCCCAGCCCGCTTCGCTCACTTGCGCAGCACCACCAGCCGCCCAAACTCCTTGCTGTCGGTCGCCAGGCACTCAGCGGCGGCGAAGCCGGCGGCGGCCGCCAGCCCGCGATAGTCTGACAGCTGCTCAGGCCAGTCGTGGTTGGTGACGTGCTCCACGATGGGCACAGCCTCCTCCTCGTCGATGATGCCTGCAGGCAGCGGGAAGGGCAGGCACGGCAGCAGGCAGGCAGGTGGGTGAGCGGATCGAACGCCCGACACCTGGGGGACAGGAGTGGCGGACGGGGCAGCAGCTGAGCGGGAGTGGCAGGTGAGGCAGCGCGGCGGCGGCCGCCAGACGCTCACCCCTGGCCACCGCCTCTGCGATGTTGTCGCGGTACCGCTCCATGAACCGCTCCCGGCTCTCCCCCTCCCGCCGGAAGATGTCGACCACCACAAACAGCCCGCCTGCAGGTGAGCAGCGCAGGCAGGAGCAGGAGGATGTCTGTATCTGTGGCTGTGTCAGTGTGCGTGGTGTGGGGTGGGCAAGGGTACGGGTGTGGTTGGCAAACCCTTCTGCGGGCTGCGGTCGCCACCCTTCTGTGGCAGTCCCCTCAGGCCCGCCGCCGCTTGCCTGGCTTGAGGCAGCGCGCCACCTGGGCGACAAACTCTGCCTTGCCCTCCAGGCTGCGGGGGGGAGGCAAGCAGAGGGAGGCAAGCAGGGCGAGGGCAGCACGTCGTGAGGAAGCAAGCAGGAGCCATCGACAGCTGTCTGCCCACAGAACCCGCAGCGGCCTTGTGCCAGCTGCCAGTTGCCCCGAGCTGGCAGGCAGCGCCCCGTACCGCCTGCCGCACTGCCTGTCGTACCGCCCGCCTGCCGGCCTGCTGCTGGCTGCCGCCCACCCAGGCTTCCCGCTTCCCGCTGGCTGCTGCTACCGCCCCACACCTGAGGTGGTGCACCGCAAAGGAGGCAAAGGCCAGGTGGAAGCGCTGGTCGGGGCAGGACCCCACATACTCCTTCATGTCTTGCTGCACGGGGGCAGGGCAGGGCAGGGGGAGGCCGGGAGCAGAGCGGGCAGTGTGTGCGTGCGCGTGTGTGTGTGTGTGTGTGTGTGGTGGGTGGGTGCCGGCCGGCAGACGGCGAGGCGGGCGGGCGGGCGTGCGTGTGGCAGGCAGCGATCCTCGCTGGCTTGCGCGGCGCGGCGCGGCGCAGGACCCCACCCGCGGCCTGGCTCGGCGCGGGGCGCTGCCTCGCACCTCAACCAGCTCCACAGAGCAGTGGGGTTGGAGGACGGGCGCCAGGTACGCGGCTGCCGCCTGGAGCGCCGCCGCCGACATGTCCACGCCTGTGTAGCTGCCCAGGGGCAGGGCGCCCCCGGGCACGCCCGCGCCGCACTCCCGCAGGCAGCCCGCGATCTGCATCGCGTCGCCGCAGCCGAGGTCGAGCATGGCCAGCGGGGCGGCGGCGCCGGCGGCGGTGGAGGCTGCCTCGCGCAGCAGCAGCTGCCGCAGGGCGGCGTAGAGGGCTCGATGCTCCAGAAAGTCGACCTCCAGGAGCTTGTGGTAGGTGGACCAGGACTGCAATCCCAGGAATCACACAAGGGAGAGGCGGGTCAAACCCAGGAATCACGCAAGGGAGAGGCAGGGGGCCGAGCTGGCAGGCGGTCACGATGGCATGGCAGGCACGCTGGAGGCTGGCTGAAACAGGCAGCAGGCCGGCTGGCTGGGCGAACGAAGCCTGGCCGGCTGCTGAGGTCTTGCGGGGGATGCCATGCGGCACCCTCACACCTGCTTGAACAGCGCCACCGACGTCTGGCACTGCGAGTCGAGCAGCCGGCGGCCCGACGGCGAGCGCAGGTACGCAGCGGCGGGGGCGGAGACCGTCATGGCGCAGTGCTGCCGCTTCCCGGCGCTGCGCAATTGGTCGGGAGCGGGTCGAGGAGGTCGCGGAGCAGCCGTGAAGCGCACAAGAGAGGGTGTATGCGGGCACGGGTGGTCGGAGTCAGTGGCGGTGCTGTTGGAGCACTGAAAACAGGGACGAGCAGCGATGGAAACAAACCATGCGCATTGTCCTGGGCCGCGATCCCCTCCCCCTAAAGACAACTGGCAGCGGCATCCAGCTGGCAGCGCCCAGAACCTGGCGCCGCACCTGCCAAGCTTTGGCAGCTCTAGCGGAGCCTTGTGCTGCTGGCAAATTAAACTGACATACATCATGAGCGAGGGGCTTTTTGGCCCACCAGACGGCAGTGGACGGCCGCCTAGCGGCCAAGGCCTTGGCGGCTATTCGCCCCTGCATCAGAGACCTCCTCCTGTATGCCTTACATGACATACCTCCTGAGCATCACTGCTGCCATGATGCTCTGAAGGGTTCCCCTGCTCCCTGCCACCTGTCCTCGAAATGTGCATGTTGGTAGCAGGCTCTCGACGCAAGCCGCTGCACCGCGGCCGCCATCCTCTGCACAGCCAGGCCCTCGCCCAGCGACCAACCCCCGATTTCCAAACGATCATGTCATCCCGACGCCCTCAGGCCACGAAGGAGCCAGGAATGAGCGAAGTACTGCTGCAGCTTCTCGACAACTAGAGCGGGCCCGCCATCCTTGCACGCATAAAAGCAGCGAGCACCGAGCCTGTTCCATTATTCTTATTTGCGACCTGCAATCCCTTCACAAGCTTTCTGGTTCCCTCTCCTGTCCTCCTCCCGCCTATCTGGTACCCTTCGCCCCAATGTGCGGCCCACTCTCCTCGCCAATTCCTGCTGTCCACTGGCCCAAAGAGCTTGCTGCAAGGCAGCCGCCACCTTCTTGCTGCCGCCAGCCGAGCCGCCCCTGGCGCGCCTCGCCGNCTCTCCACCGACGCTGCCGCCCTCCCTGGTGGCT